GATTTCTGGTAATCCCATTTAAATATTTTATAGATATGATGTAAAAATCCAGCGAGTAAACTACTGACGGCACTGAATGCAATGTTATTGAACTTATTTCAGGATTTGAGTAACAATACTCAAAACCGATTCACAAATAATTGTTCGAATGGACAACAAGTTCATTGATAAACCAAAATACACTACAAATCACTGTAATCCGTCGCACAATAAAAATACCGTGTTAGTTGTGTATCGAAAACTGTCCCTGCTCACTGCTTAGTGCTTCGATGTTCTCAAGTATTTGCTAACTTGTCAGACTCGGTCATTTCACCCATTTGCGCAGGATCCAAACAAAACAAGATTCCTCTCTGTTGCATTGGCAGCCGGTAGCAGCAACCCACATTGCACTGTAGTGTTGTAATCGTTTACCAGGGTTGCCGGCTGTAAGGACAATTCCCACGTTTGATATTTTCCAGTGTTGCGAATCTCTCTTTTTTTCAAAGCTAAGAATTGAATGCAATTCATTTGACTGGGTAAAGAACTGTATTTTTTTTTCAAATTATTATTGCAAAATAACTTTTCTCTTCTGATGTTGACTTTCTATCACACTAGGTTTAAGACTATGCATTGCATCTCATGAGCAGTTCTTATATGAAAATAATTATTAGTGCAATAAATTTCAATAAATAAACGAAAGTTATAAATAAATTAGCAACCAATACTTCACAACACATTTCACGCACTGAAATTATATTCGTACATGAAAATAAAAATGAAAGACTCGCGGAAGTGAAGTTGATATTTCAATGTTCGAAGTTAAAGAAATATACTGGTGTTACTTTAATAAGTGTTTGATATACAGGTATTCAAATAGTGAATTGAAAGCATATTTTGAAGATTCCCAATTATATAATTCAAATAAATTACTTTTAAAATATTTTGATCTAAAAATTTGAACTGGCAACCCTGTCGGGTACAAAATTAGTTTGCATTTATACATGATGCACCGGAAAGATTCGTATGGAGCTGCTTCATACTTTAAAAAAAACAACGATAATATAATATTTTGGAGGTCTTATAATTATATTATGGATTTTTCGGAGTGTTGTGTCCGATAAAATGTTCTCTTGGATATATATCAAGACACTCGATATCTCTATGTTTGAATTTATGAACGCTAATAAAAATAGCAAAGGCCAAAATAACTTATACTACTTCATACTGTGGTCAGCTTGAAATAATACAATGAAATACCTAATTATTTTTCGAAACTGGTTGGATAGAAAAAATCAAAAGAGTAGTGAATCTCAGCCAGTTTGAAGCCATCAACCAAAATATACGGGTTACAAATATAAATTAACAAATTCATTGAAGCGATTATTATAGAGCTTTGGTCATAAGATGTGATAGACGTCATTGTGTCAACCGGCAATATACCAACCACGGAACCTGTTTTCAAATTGTCAGCTGTCAATATGTTTCCATAATTGTCATTGCAGTAGATATATAGGGTAGAAGTTGCTGCTGCACATCAATTATATTGAACATAGTTGTTTTGTAACTTCTGACAAAGCCTGTAATATTTAGTTTACAAATACTAATCATTAAAGAAGAAGAAGAAAGAATATGTAATATTTTGTAAATCTCCTATACACTTCACGTTGGAAGACGGTATTGAAGAGGGACATATACATATAAAAAATATTTCGAAATAAAATCTCTTCCCACTACCTACGCCGTAAGTTCTAGTAAATGCCTACTGGAAAACAATTACTTCCCTGGCTAATATCACGCTGGTTATTCACCATATCCTACTGTGTAGGTACGTTGGGAGAGATGAAGGTTTCGAAATTTCATTTCCCTAATTTTACATAATATAATATTGAATGAAGAACTTTATATCAATTACTAAAATGAGAAGATATATACCATATTATGAAATGATAATATCAACCAAAGTTGATATCAAGTGACGTTTTTAATGAAATGGAAGCGTTCATACACCGTCATTTAAAATAAGTGTGTAATGAACTAACAGCGTGAAACCTTTCTTAAAGTTAAAAGTTTAGTGTATGAACCAGCCATTATTGTATTTGGTCAATGTCAACTAATTTCAACATTCTGTATAATACGTGGGACAAAACATGATCTGCAGCAGATAAAATAAGCTCAACAGTGTATTTTTTTCTTGGTCGAAACCATCTACCAAACAAATACTTCTTCTATTAATGCTAAGAATGAAATAAATTCTAACTAGAAGTACACAAGAACGAAGAAATTAAATGGTTAAGGCTTTCGCGGCCGAGGTTTTTAGTGTCACTATTTTCCGGGTTTGAAGGCCGGTGGATTTTTGGAATTTCTTCCCGACGTTTCGCTGGCGCGAATGGCAAGCTTCCTCAGAGATTTATACATCCTGAGTTAATATCTCCAATGACTGAACAAAAAAACTATTGACGGTAAGACACGTTCCATCAAAAATTGAAAATTTCAACCAATAATAGTGGTTAGAATTGTGTGAAGGCTATTTTACGGGTTTTCTGGCTGTGGTCTACAGGTTTTTATGCCTGACGTTCCGACTACTGCTGCGGTAGACGAAACGTCAGGCATAAAAACCTGCAGACCAGGGATAGAAAAACCGGAAAATAGCTTTTATATCTGGCTGTGAAAATTTACATTCTTCGAGTGGTTAAAATAATTGTTTTAAACGCTTATTCATCAGCAAGATGCACGGTATATTATATCCATTTTGTTCATCGGTTGAGAATAGAAGGGCCAAACTGAAATAACCAGATCAGTAACCGCGGTATGACAAAACGCGACTAAGTTTACTAAAGATTAGGAGTAAACCTCATTGAATTTACTAAACGAAGGAATATATTTCAAAAACATCAAACAAATATGCAATAATGCATATTGAAAAAGTCTATGCTGGTATCAGCCCGTTGCTCCTGTTTCTTTACAAACGACCCTTGACAGATAGCTGCCAACTGCCGTAACTAATCAAATATAGGTACCTATTAAAAATAATTGAAGACAGTGGAGTAGTTTTACTACGGAGATTTCCTTCAGTTATTTTGGTATAGCTCATTTAATTGTGAGAAAATTTGAGATTCAGAAAATTTCATACATACTTTGTTAAACGCATCAAAAATATCGCAAATATTAAAAATTGTCATCCCTCTTTATACAGAGTATTTTGTGTCATTTTATGAATTTATATATTCTCGACACTAATTGTCAAGTTGGAAGTGTTATTATTGTTATGTGTATAACTTAGGAGATATCTAATCTATATTTTGTTTTCAAATTTTGGGTTGATGTACTGATGCGGGAATCGAGTATTTCTAATAATCGAATGAAGAGGTATCGAATAACTTTAATAATCGAATGAAAAATTTATTCTCACATAAAATTAAAGAAGAAGTATAAATGTGGTTAGGATTGTACTTGTTCATTTTTTGGTTAAGTTTTTTATGCAACACACAAAAGTATCTACGTCCACTTTACTCCTTTACCATTTTCGTGTTTGTTTCAATTGGAACTCTGGTCTTCCATTTTTTGAAATGAAAAGCTTTTTCGATTTGAGTTTAGTTGGGGCAAAGCCTCGATAACTATCAACAAATAAAAAAAATCGAAAAAACATGAATGTAATAAAATTTGTGAAGTCATTTTCATGTCAACCATGGCATAAATAGGGGGCAACACGTCGGTGGGTAACACCACAGAACTATCACCAAACCATGCACAGAACCGAAAACTTGACAATGAAATATTCGATTTTCTGTATTCGATTCCCCAATCACTACGTTGACGTAAGCATCATCTTGCTGTAATATGGTCCTAGTCAATTTCTGACAAATCCTATGATATATCAATAATAGATGTTTCATTCCTGATATTATACAGGAATAGTTTGTTTGTAGTTAGTAGTGAAATAAATGTTATCTATTGTAACTACTGAACAACCCCCTCTCTCTCTCTCTCATGTCCTCATGCTAAAGTCTAAAAAGTAAATAACCAGAGGCGGACCACCGAGGAGGTTTCATTTGGATTGTGAATAATCAAAGTTCAATTACCCAGTGACTATTTTCGAGTGCAATAATAGAAAGAAGAATTCCCAGACGAAAATGTTCCCCGATCTTTCTATGGGTGAATTGTGTGGTATTTTGGAGTAGTAGGGAGATGAGAAGATCGAGAGAAAATCTTATAGTGTTTTCAAATATTTTCCTCAAGTAAACTCTTGAAGTTGGTAGCCATATGGTGAAAGAAGAAATTTGAATGTTTTGTTTAATATAGGTCAACTAGAAACTGCTTATATTATTTAGTTTCTCTTCACAATTGATTTCATTGTAAAAGATAAATGAAAGAGAAAACTAAAAAAGTGGGCATATCACCTCAACGATTTGTTTTGAACATCAAACATTCAACTGATTATTTAAAGGGAAACATTATCAGATTGATCCTCACTATTGTCCAAGCCTTCCAAATACAAATTTTGGTTTATAACCTTCATAATGGAAGTACTGTTTGGAGAATTGGTTTGAATGCATGCAAAAGTAAATCATTATACTTCAAGTGAAAACTTTAAAGGTGACCGTCACATTGACTACATTTTTGGAAATAAAGGTTTTGGCCCTCTACTTATTCCTAGCAATCCTGTGAATGATATCCGATTCAATTCCATAATGATGATTCGGAATACAAACTGAATAGAGAGGTGTTTTTTGTATAGTTCAGTGTTCATACAAAAGTCGTTTTCTCTCGTGTTATTCAACGTTTTTATGAAAGTTGTTGTTTTGAGAGGGATTTTATTCCACTTTGCACGATCTACACATCTCTCTCTGGAAGATTCACACTTTTTTTAATTGATATACTTTGTTCACCCTTTTTTGAAGTACTTTAGTATGAGTATTTCTCAAAGTGAACAGAAAATCAACAAAGTATCATAAAACTTCTAGATTCCACGGTGATGTTAAAACTCCTCAGTTATTGTTACTCAACGAATGAAACAACCCATCTAATCAAAAATAAATATTTATTTTCAATATAAAGTATACATAAATTACAGGGGACTCTCCGTTTTAGGTATAACCTCCATGTCATCTCGACATTTTGGGATGTATAATGTGGCGCAGGTATGTTCCCAAATATCCTGGGGATACTTATCATCAATTAATTTTTGGGGGAGAACGGTTTCTGTTTTTTACTCCTTCATCTTCATACAAAAAAATGTGGGAATCTTCTAAAGAAAGGAAGAAAGTAATCAACTTCAAAATAAACTCTTCACAAAGATGTGCAGATCATACAAAGAAGTAACTTTTAGACACAAACTGGAAGAAAAAGCACTCTCAAAACAAGTACTTTCATATAAACATTAGGGTACATGAAATAAAAAATACTTTTGAAGCAACTACTTCCATATGAACAATGAATTAAACAAATAACACATTTTCCTATTCAGTTTGTCTCCAAATGCACAAACGTACCAAAAGTACGTTTGACAATTTGTTACCTAGTTTGAAGGCTCAGTGCATTTGGTTTACTCTATTTTAGATCTTGAAAAAAGTTTTCACATCTCACCTCCCAACATTCTTTCTCAACATTATATACATCAATTGTATCTACAAGGGACCTAGCTAAAGTTTCCTCATCTTCTGTCCATCCTCCACAAATATACAAACTCTTTCCAATGTTTAGCATAACATGGTCTGCCCTCGGCTTCAGCATGGGCGAACAAACTTTCCACTGTTCTGACTTGGCATCATAACAATACATTGAGCTCTGAAAAGTTGAAACAATTCAGAAAATTCATTCAATGGTTCATATTTTCAGGTAATATTTTTATTTTCAGAAAAAACAGCCAACCTTAAATAAGATTTAAATGCGAAAGTAATCGATTTTTTAGGTTTTTCTTTGATATTCTATGCTTCTTGTAAAATGACAGAGAGCTCCAAATCTTGAAGGTTTTCAAAATTGAAATAAAATATGCAGGAAAACAGATAGTAAAGTGACTTGCTGTGCCATAAATCGCAAGTTTGAGACCTTATGCCTCCGACTTCAAGGGTTAGCGTAACTGTATACATGAGTATTTCAGAGCGCAACCGAAAGTGGCAATAACAATATGCAGAAAAAAGGCTGCCGAGAAAATTAGCTCGGAACACATCCATTATGAAGATAACTGGCTCTGTTCAAACTCTAGCTTGACCAGCAGGGAAGTGAGTCCTTTAGAATGGCATCAGTTGTTTGATACATCTCACGTTTTAGTCAGGTGCTGCGAAGCTTCTGAATAAATGCATGATGAGTTCATGCCAGGTTGTAACAAAAGCCTCGGCAATTAATTCAGACCATAGTGGAATGATAGGATCAGCTTTGTCTGAAAAAAGCATATAATCGAGCATAACTGGCTGGATCTGTACTAGACTCATAAACAAAACAGCTGCTATAACTCTTGAAGACGAGGCCATTAGGTTCAAGGTCATTAGAAGTTGCCCTCAGGGAAGGGTACCATACCTCCGTTTGTGGTTACTTCAATTTGCTAGATGTATTTGACAGAAAAGAGGTAGATTGAGAAGGGTAGCCATAATATCCTCCAAAGAACGTTAGAAGATGTTTATGGTTGGTAGCAGGTGAAGTACCCTGTGAACCTCAGTAAAACTACGATAGTTTTTTTCATCAGGAAAATAAATCTGAATTATTTAAATTTACTTTCCATCAATGGTGAGGTAATTGTATTTGAAGCGGAAGATGAACTATTGTTACTATTATATTCAATAGTGATCTCACCTAGAAGGCTCACTTGGAAAAGATTTTAACTATTACTATAGACATGTCAAAAAACCTATAGAAAACCTAGGGGTTTGGGGCCCAAACAAATCCATTAGATATATATATGGTGATTGGCTGATTGATGTCCACGTACAGAGGAATTGCATGGTAGGTGAAAGCTTCAGAGCAAACACCACAGCGGCCATGGAAATCCTTCAAAACAATCCTCCTCTCCATATATTTATGGAGAGAGGTTAGATGGACAAAATACAGAATTGTGTATATTGCCTATTGAATAAAACAGGGTTATGTGGAAGGCAACAGACCACTGGCTGCACTGAAAGTCGCAAAAAGAGGACTGCATTCTCCAGGAGGAATGAATACCAAGAGCAGATAATTGTCGAATCATCGATGGATCAAAACACCTTCAGTTTGTGGTGCAAGTGAATACAGTTACAGGGCCAGGATACCACTGATTTATGTGTGATATAGGCAAAAAAATGGTAAAAAAGACTCGCCTCAATAGAAAGACTTATCAAATTGCCTCTCCATTGTAAGAGAAAGTGCTCCAAGAGGTTTCATCAGTCCTGAACCCGTTATTGGCATCTCTTTAGGCTTTGCCAAACAAACACTAAATATCTGGACAACAAGAAGGATTTCAGACTCCTGGTCTATCTATCTATCCTGGTCAATCTATCAGATTGATTCATCCTTTGACCTGCCTATCTTTAGAGAATGCATCTCAAATTCTGTACCAGCCTCGCAGCAAACCAAATTATTTTTTCACACTTTGGGAGAGTTTCACTCTTGCCATTTTCTCCTTACACTTGGTGACCTTTTTCTTCAACTTTGAAAATATGTATCTCATTCTCCTGAACATCATAGTTGAAGCATATTTTTTGTCTGTAATTTGACAAATCTCTCTTGACAAATCTCTGTTGTTCATTTTTATATGCTACATTTTTTTGTAATATAAAAATTACCTGAACAATATCTCTATCTATTCCACCGCTTATATACAAACTGCATTCGAATCCATTTTCATAACTTGCCCCTGCATGCTGCGTTAGATAAACTGGAAGTGGTTGAATCATAAACCAGGCATCCATCACTGGGTTGTATCGTTCACAAGTGCTTGTATCGAATTCATCTGATTCACTTACTCCTCCAACTGCATACAACATTTTTCCAAGAACATTGAGGCTGAAGCGACATCTCTCTATTTTCATTGGTGCTAGTGTTGACCATTTGTTATATCTAAAACAAAACTAGAAAAGTCAAAAATGAATCTAGATATATAAAAACATGCAAAACAAGCACTTTTCTCGCGAAACGCGCGTCGAGAAGAGTATTGCATTTCTGGTTATAGCAGTTCTCTCTTTTATTATAAAAAAACGGTTTTGAAATCAGAAAGAGGAAACTTTCCGAAACATCAACCATTTATCAGTGTCGAGTATAAATGTGATAAATATATATTTATAATATGTGATGGAATTGTACACTTGCACAGATTCTCCTATAATGTTATTTTATTTTTTAATTCATTTTGGGACTTGCCATTTCACAATAAACACATGGACTGCGTGAGAAAAAAAATGCAATTGAACAATACACAAATTGAACAAATTGAACAAATACACAAATATCAATAATAATAATATTCAGCAATTTCTTCATAGTAGGTCAATAAGTTTAACCTGATTTTTGAAAGAATAAATCAAGAACAAAGCTATTCTCAGTTGCTAGCCTAAGCATTGTTGCAGATTATGCAATGAAGGGATAGAAACAGCTCTACACATCTTATGCGATTGTGAGGCACTGAATCACAGGAGGCAGGCAATATATGGACGTATGAAATTACGTCCAGAAGAATATGACGAACATCCAACACGGAACCTATACAAACTAGTACAGGGAACGAGACTGATGAAATGGGTGTCATGAGAAGATGGAAGAACAAACGCAATAAGCCCAAGAGGCTGCAGTGTTTCCTGGAGACTTGGACTAAATGGACAAGTCAGACAGCTCCCAAGGTACACGAAAAAAAAGCATTCTAGTAATGGGTTCATTTAAGCCATAACTACTACCATGGTAACAAACTTTAAACAACTCCGCCACCTGACACAATTGAACAATTTTGTATGTTATGCCAAAATTAAGCAAAAAAAAATCGATGTAATCAGTAAACAAATATACATACCAAAAAAACTAAAAATTCAGTGAGCCAAAGTTGATTCCAAAATTTTTAAAAAAGGTTCAACTTGTCAGATGCATTTAGTATTCAGTTATATTTAGTAGACAATTAAAAATTTTCACTGAATTTTCAAACTTCCATGTTGTGAATAGTTTTTTAAAACTTGAAAATTTCATATCGTGAATAGTTTTTGTAGAATTGATTTTGAATATTAATTTTGTCGTACACACTTACCTAGGGCTAAATTTGAATCCAAATGGATGAATGTTCTCCTGCAAACTCTGATTGAAACAACCCCCTACAATAAACAACTCATTATTCAGAACCGCCGTTCCAAAATTACACTGCTCCACATGAGGAATGGACGTCAAATGTTTCCATTTTCTTTCCGTAGAAAAACAGTAGGTAATCTCGTTGGTAACTCCACCTACCCCAAATCCTCCAATCTTCAAAACTGCCATCTCCATTCCTCGGGAATTCAATAAATAGGAGTCCATTAGTTGATCTGTATCTTTCGTATATTGCTGCCGTGCCTCTTGTAACATTATTTTGTATAACTGCCACTCATACTTCCGATCTGTGAAGACATTTTGTATGATGCTGTCTAGTTTTCGAGCTGAGATCTCTTTAAAATGGATGTATCTGATGATTCGAAAAGCATAGGAAAGCCGAACATCTAACCTGGGGAAATAAGTACCTTCACTTTTCATATTGTGATGATTAAATTCATTATGAGAATGATGGGTCTATCAATGTCTATCAAAGTTATCTTGTCATTATTTGCAAGTCCACTCACCCTACCCATGCAGTGAGAAACATGTGTCCGGAGTAATGGCAATACTCAAATAATAAAAGACTTTTGAAGTTACCCAGACAATGTTGTAGTGGGGAGGTACAATCGTAAGGTTAAGTAGACAAGGCATCACTCCCCCTAAACTCTTCTATGGATAGATCTGGCATTTTGACACATTTTTTTTTTAATAGAATCTACAGAATGGATAGAGTGTACACACTTCGAGTCGAAGATGAAGGAATATCTACTCACTTTGATGTCTTTACTGTAGTATCTTACTCAGTTACAGTATTCACAGTAATTGTAAAATCAAGTATCCCATGTTTCCATACAAAACACGTAAAAAAAACTTGCGAGGACAGAATCCATTCTTTTTTCATTATTATTATTATTATTTTTATCATTAGAAGAATTCAGCAACTTACTCATTGGTGTCAACCTGGAAGAACCAATCAAGAACTATCCTCAGTACATCATCTTCAGAACAGTCAACTGGAAAATCGTATGCCAATAAATTTTCCAACTGCTGAGGTGCCATTCTATAAAACTCTGCACTCCTTGAGAATTCTAATAGATGTCCACTCATGAAACGGTATACTTTGACTCTCAGTTGATACAAAGAGTATGTCTCAGCTGAAATACAAGAAAATAGTGTAACAAGAATGTCTGGACAGTGATTTATTCAAGAAACACTTTATTGTGATATTTTCACTGAACAGTTTTACTAAAACTCAACACGTTTCGTTTTGTGAAAATCTCACAATAAAGTTTTTCTTGAATAAGTTATGGATTTTCATCAAGTATCGACCCTTTCATCACATATCGACAGTGATTGGTTACCCAGTGTAACAGAGATTAATAGAGAGAAGAATGATGAACAACTCAATTGGAATAATATTGTGTGCGTAGATATTGAGATAAGGAGCGTTGGAGGGTGTTACTTTGTTTAATTTCATTAGAAAGCTTGTTATAGTTCAAGAGTCCTATGTGACATTTAGAGTTCAATGTTCTTGCAAGGTTAGTTCGTGGGACAACCAAGTCATCTCTTCCTCTTGTATCGTATTTGTGTATCTGATGGTTATATGTAATGAATTCATTNGGACCAGAGCATCTAGAGGAAGACATGGAACATCTTCAAGTGACCTTGAGATCGAATGGATACAATGTACCCTTGAAGAGTTCTATGGTACAGAAGGAGGAGAAGGCTCAGAAGGTTGCACACGCGTATCTACCTTATATCCCTAGGGTCACGGACAGAATTGGAAAACTGTTAGGGAAACACAATATTAAAACGGTTTCCAAACCCACCAAGATATAACAAAGCCTCAGGTCGGCTAAAGACAAAAAGGACCCACTATCAGCAGCAGAGTTTTATCGCATACCATGCTCTTGTGGGAAGGTATACACCGGAACCACCAAAAGATCCAAGGGACAAAGTTGAAGGAGCATGAGATAAACTGCAGACTAGGCCAAACGGACAAGTCAACTGTAGCAGAACCTGAACCCAGTGAATAAAACCACAAGATTTTCTGTATGAAAATGCGGAACTCATTGCCCCCAACCAGGGATACCATGGCTGATTGGTACGGGAGGCAATATAAATCCACAAATATACGGATAATTTCCACAGAAAAGAAGAAACTGTGAACCTTAATCGAATATGGAAGCCCATTCTTAGGAGTTCAAGAATAGCAAACAGAAAATGTTTTGTGTTTTCCATTAACCAGCTGTCAAATCTTTACGAATGACGAAATTGAAACTCATGCGAGTTAAGGAAAAACGAGGTCTTATCCCTTAATGTGCGATTCCTAGAACGATATGCATTGATAAACGAAAATTCCACCAGTTGGAATCGAACCAACATTCACACAGCGGTTGTTCACATGGCTAGAACGAACCACCAACTCTTATCAATCAGCTACCATCCTTTTAAAAACATACTCTTTTTTAACAGATATGATTGATAAAGTTATGCCCAGGTCTTATAAATAGCCATGATGAGATCTGTCTGAATAGGCAATTTCTACATTATT